AGTTATTAATAAATCTTTTAACAGAGAAGCTTACGGCAGTTAAGCCTGAGTCACTTAAGTCTGAAGAATCAATAAAAGTAAACTAGACAAACCATATCAAACTCTTACTGATGTGATTCTCCAAACAACCTATACTCCTTCTTGTGTACTGATTTAGTTATTTAGAATTTATTAATACTTATCAACATTCCATTTGTATTTGTGTTTTATTTTTAATTTTATATATTTACCAAAAAAGGAGTGTTTTATTTTAAAAGGCTAAAGCACTTTTAAAATATATTAGTTCAGACCTTTTCGGAAATGAGTTTTCTCTTTTTTTTCATTTTTCTTCTTTTATTTTTTTCTTAAGCCTGCTTATTATCCTGAACTATGGCTATTAATTTTTTTTTCCAGGAGCTCTGCTCAGGCATATTATTTCAACTTATGTATTCATTGAATCCTCTTCTTATTTTGTGTACTTATTCTGTTTTGTCTGGTGCTTCCTCACATAGTTTCTCTGGAAATGTGCATAGCTATAAAATCTGATTCTGACTTTTATGTTTTCAAACTCTTTGCATGACTGATTTGTAAGTAATGCAGGAATAACTTAGAAACCAGTTCTGGATATAGTAAATGTTTTGAAAACAAAGTAATACATGCTTTTGGCAAAAATTCAAAATTATGTATTGTGGGGTCTATGATTCATAACAAAGTCTCTTGAAGGGTGCAGTATAAGTCTTTCAGATTTTTTGATATGTTCTAATCATATGGATCTATGCAATATCTATTTTCTAAAAATTGTGTTATATGTATTATGTATTTATATTTTTTATTTAATGATATATTACATGAGACTTTAAAATGTAATACAATCAACAAAATGATCTGTGTAGAAATTTGTGGAAATTTATAACTTTTTGTGTCAACCTGCATTTATAAGAGAAGTCTCTTAATTAAAAGTTAGTCTGTAATTTTAAAGTTAGTCTGAAGATACTGAGTAGGAGGCTTGCTTGAGCCTAGGAGTTCCACACCAGCCTGGATGACATGGAACTTGTTTCATAAAAAAAAAAAAAAAAAAAAAAAAAGGCTAGGTTCTTTCTATTCTTCTTTTAAGAAAAAATACTTCATTTATATACAGTTTGATATAAAGATGTCTCTTACTCCTGTGCATGTATTTCCTGAACTCAAGATTAGGTTGTAAAAGTTGGGCTGCTATGCCAGACATGCTCTGCTTCACGGCAGGCTGAGGACAATATTGTCACTTCAATGTAGAGAGTCTTAGATAAACTAGAGATGAAACTGGATCCACAGACCTAGGGCACTGTTCTGGCCCAGCTACTTTCTATTATCCTTAAAGCGATATAGAACACTTAAAAAATCATTTATATGTCACTCCTGCTTTCAGATCAGCTGAGGTAGAAGAAGTTTACAGAAATCTGTGCAAGGTCAAATGTAAAATTTGGGACTTTTTGTATGTAAAGAAGCAAGTCCTTAATAGTCTGGGAGGATGTTCTATTCTTAATCTTTCAGTTGCTTAGATCAGCTTTATAGCCTTTTTAGGTTCATTACTGTATCTCCATCTTTAAGAAAATGAGTTACTCAGTTTTGGATGGTGTTAGGACTCTCAGAACTTCACTGGTCAGAGGGATTGTTTAAAAGTAATTAAATTCAAAATTAGGTATGTTCTTACAGTAAGAAAGGGAAACTGAAAACCCCCAGTACTTTATTCAGTAGTTCTGCAGTAGTGGAGGTGATTTAGAGTTTTACATAGGGCATGACACCAGAGGCCAATTTGAAATTTCGCTGAGTGTGAACTTCATCTCATTCATTTGCTGTTTATTAAATATTGTCAGTCAGTATCTTGACAGGATGAGTGTCTATTTCTAATTATCCTATCTAAGTTCCCAGCCACATTTTATGTACTGTGTTTCATTCATTCATATATATATGTATTGATCCAGGGAATATGCGCCACACAAAATTCTGGACCGTGGGGATACTTTGCTGAACAAAGCAAATGAATAAATTGATCACCTAGGGAGCCTACATTCTGGCATGGTAGGGGGAGAAGACAATGAGCAAAGTTAAGCAAGATAAATGGTGACAGAGGTAAATAAATAAAGTGTATATGTTGATAGTGATACATTCTAAAGAGAAGAGTCAGTGAAGTAAAAAGGTAAAAAATTTAGCTGGAATGAGAAGATGGATATTGAGTATTGTGTTGTTGGGTGGCCATAATAAATCTCACTGAAAAGTTAAAGTTGATACAAGACTGGAAGGCAGTAAGGAAGCTATAATTTATAGCTTCTGAAAAATAAAGTTAAGCGGCAAAACAGCAGATTCTGAGAAGGGAGTAAATAGCAGTGTGTGATCTAAAAATACAGTGAATATCTAAAAATTTTTACTATAGTAAAAGACACATTGCTATTAATATCCCCTCAAAATACTTTCCCTCCCTTAAGCACACTTATTCCACACATCTCGCCATTTTCTCAAACAGTTCTGCAAGTCCTTTTTCCTGAGTGTTTAGTTGTGCCATCGTGATTGCCTTGGTGTCCTGAGCTGATTCAAAACATTTACCTTCTATGATCATTTTGACTTTGGGGAAGAGTCAGAAGTTGCACAGTGCCAGCTTTGGTGAATAAGGCGGATAAGGACACACTGTATGTTTTTATGGGCCTGCCTTGGTTCGATGGACTCCCCAGCAGCATTCACTGTTTTTGTGATCATATTTCTTAAATATATTCATGAATGGTGATGTAACTGCTATTAGACTGAAGGGAAGACAAAGGAAGAGCAGAATATTTGACTAAAATATTATTGTGGTTGTTTTTATTACTCATTACACGTTATACTTCTATATATCTTTTATGTGTCTTCATTTTTAAATTAGTTTCATATAAGAAAGCCTTCCAGGATAAGTAAGCTATTCACAGATAATTATTAGTTTTTGAGAAAATGTAACTTATACTTGTGTTCTTTGCAAGTGCTTCTTTTTGTATATCCTGATTTGGCATAGTTTTGAAGGGGTTATTGCTCATGTGGTAATTGAGAGTGTGTTATGTACCATATCTCTGGAAAAATAATTTGCAAATTAATACATAGTCAATCCTCATTTGTGAGGAGACCCAAAGATCATCTCTGTTTCACTAATGAATAAGCTGAGATTGTGAGAGATCTTGCTTAGAAATATGTTAATATCTTCCATGTGAAATATTCTTAAACATCAGAGCTAATGTATCACAGCTGGTCCAGAGACTTAGTAGAAAGTTCTGTAGACAGTTTATTAACAACTATCCTGAATTGTCTGTAACTATATATAATTAACGTTGCCTTGTATATCCTTAAATGGTAAAGTAAGCACAGTCTCCTTACTGCATCTTAGACTCCAGCTTTGTAATGCATCTTTGTTCCTCAAATGATAAAAAAGAAATATTTATCTAAAAAGTTGTATAATAGGTAAACTCTGGTAAACAGGCTTTTTTTTTTATATTGTGAAAATAGAGCTGTCAGTCTTTAACTGTTCACTTGGAAAACAATCTTCTGGTTAGTGCAGGTTGTATCCAAATATGGACAAGTTTGAAAGTTCCAAGTTTACAAAATTTTTAGTTGACACAACATAATGGTACAGTATAATTCAGTATGTGTATTCAATATAAAGCGATTAGATCAGTGTAATTAGCCTTTCCATCTCCTTAAACATTTGTGTGTGTGTGTGTGTGTGTGTGTGTGTATGTGTAGCCTTCCATTTCCTTTCTTCTAGTTCTTTATAAAATTTATAATAAACTGTGGTAGACTGTGCTAGAGAACACTGGAACTCTTTCTGCCTAGGTAAAGGTATTTTGGTATCTGTTAGCCGGTGTCCTAGTTTCCACCGTCTCTTCTTCCTACCCTGTTCTATTCTTCCTGGGTGCCTAGTCTACTGTCTAGTCCTATAAAATAAGAAAGTTCTATTTTAAAATTTTCTTAAAATGATACATACCCATATCTGTACCCACGTATATCCTGTGTATGTGCAGATGAAATCTTTGTGAATAATCAGTTGGAAACTTTTATTACATTGCATTGCAGTGCTTCTTGCATTGAAAAGTTCTGCCAGGAGATATTTTTTATTTGCTTTATTTACTGCTGTCAGTTCATCTATGTGATAACCTACCCACCAGCATATTTAAATATGAAGACAGAGGAGAGGGGTCTTGGCAGCATTTGGGGAATGCTGCTTACCTGGTGATATAAAAAATGCTAAGATTTGAGCATGTATTTAAAATTTTATCACTTTATTTATTTTATTTTATTTCTTTATCAAAAGTATATGAGGGAATTTTCTTTGTAATAAATACTGATGAAAATCCCAGTATATAAAAGCAACTAATATTAATGTATAGGAAATAAATGACAGAAGTATTCAAATATTATATTAGTTATAATTCACACTTGTAAAATTATTGTTGAAGTTGAAAGTTTTGTCTAAGGGAACATATAGTCTATGTAGTTATATGTAAACACAGTTCTTCCCTGAGTGTGTCTCGTGCTTTGTTTTCTTCATTCTTCTCATTTTAACTAAAGGCCTTTCAGTTATGTTAGTTTTACTTTTTACTCTCGTAACAGTTTGAATTAGGTTTACTCTTTATCTATTTTTTTGCCAAAAGGTAGATTTTAGTACTTATATTTCTATATATTTTCATTTTTTCCTCCTTAGCCTTTTTTTTTTTTTTTTGCCTTTTTGAGACAGGGTTTCACTGTGCAGTTTAGGCTGGCCTTGAACTCACTTTGTAGCCCCGGCGGGCCTCAAACTCATAGCAACCCTCTTGCCTCAGCCTTCCAAATGCTGAGATTACAGGTGTGCACAACTATGCCTGACCTAACCTTAGTGATTTTTAAGTGTATAGTTCAGTAGTGTTGAGTATATTCATATTGTTGTGCAATGATAGTTTTCACTAAGTACAGTTTACTTCATGATGAATGTAGTCTTTCTGAAGCAATGTCTCCATATTTATTTTACTTTGTTTTTATCTTTTCAGAATCTGTATCGATTTGAGGGCACTGGATTTTCCAGCATCCCTCAACTTATAGATCATCACTATGCAACAAAAGAAGTCATCACCAAGAAATCAGGTGTAGTTCTCCTGAATCCTATTCCGAAGGTAGGTGCATATTATGTATACATTTTTGTTTCTTTGTTTTGAATTAATATTCCCCCCTGTAAATACAGTTCTTAGATCATGTGCTAGAAATTCAGAAATGAAAAGATTTTGCAAATGCTGCTACTACCAATACAGATGAAGTATGTATTCTTAATTTTATTAAGATTGCCTTCCTATTCAGTGTTTACTAGGATATGAACAATCTGATTTTTGTCTTTGTTTCCCATGCTTCTTAAAAGATTTGAAGCCTTTCTTTACTTTCTAATATCAATACTTAGAAAGATTCCTGATATAAAAGACTCTAAAATGTAGAAGTAAAAGATGTCCACCAATTAGGAGTTAAGTATAATTTTAATTTTTGGAATGTGCAATTTCCAGTGTATTATAGGATATTGGAACTTTAGAAACTATATTACTTTTCTCAAATGGAGTAAATCATAACATCTCTATGTGGAGCCAGGTATCTGGATGAGAGATGGTTCTAAAGGCATTTTTACTTCCAAAATCTATCGCAGAATACATTATATTTTCATATGATTTATTTATGGGGTAAGGTATGGGTATGAGAAAATGGTGTGTTTTTAAGACAAAACCTGTGGGGTCTAAGGCAAAGTGCAACACTGGAGTTGCTTTAGCATCTGAACGTTTTCACTGCTTGAGGAATTGGTCTGGGGCTAGGGGTTTTTCCTTTGAGAGCTGTCTTAATTTAAAGAACAGTGCAGACATAAAGCATAAAATGTGATAGGTGATACTTATTGATTTGATGTTTATAGATCCAGAAATGTCTTTTAATTTGAAGTGTTAGTCTTAAGAATGCTGGCATATAACCTAGATTCAGCTAATTGAAATTTTAAGAAATTATTGTTTGCCTGTGTGACTCTAGAAATGAATGTCCTTATTGGTATATAAGTCTTCATTCAGGGGCTAAACCTTAATATGCTCTCCCAGAAGATTTTGACAGGCAGTTGCTCAACATTTCAATTCTGTAGCTAAGGAAATGGCCTTCTTGTATTATCTGTTATGTTTTGAAATTGCTTCATTCTTTTAAGATTTTTCCATTTATTTTTCTACTTGAATAATAAAATTACACAAAATTTTCTATTCTAAAGTGGTTGTCACTCTTTTATCTCTAGTAAAAATAATCTCCTAATATTTCTTCTTTTATCTATGAATAAGCAGTGTTGTTTTGTAGAATTCTAACATCCTTTCCCTTTTTTACTCAAAGTGATTCTCATGTCTTCTACTTTTACTACTTAGTAAACTAAAACTTGCAAATGTGTATTTCTAAGTCAGATTTATGTTTCCCAAAACTCGTAATTTTTTCTACTTTTTCATCAAATTGAGTTCTTTACCTGAGTTTATGCCAAAATTTGTCTCACGAGATTCCTAGCTTCTCAAAAACAGTAAACCTAGGGGTCACTTTTCACATCTCCTTCATCACTGTTGTCTCCCTTTTTAAATGACAAGAGTTTCGTATACTTAATTGAACATTTGAAATTATAATCCTTAATTCCAGTATATTCTTGTGTGAATCAAATTCAGTGAAGGAAGATACTTTTATCTACATTAGAGTAACATGCTATACATCTAGGTTTTCAGAGATAATGATGCCCCTTTTACAAGCCAGCCAAATATTTGTGCTGTCTCTAAACTTAGCCAAGTCTGAATGGACACACCAAAACCCTAATAGAAATACCATGCTGATCTGGACATGATTAGGGATGTGTAATGTCAAATAAAACTGTAGCCCTCACAATCTAAAATTATCCATGAAATGAACCTAGATAATTTATTTGATTGTCTGGACTATAACATAGTCAATTATTATCTTCCTCTCCAACTTCCAACACTGGAGTTGATTATCTTGTTCTTTTATGGCAGTAGCTATGAAAATAAATGTATGCTGGAAGCTATAGAAGATTAAAGGGCTATATATAATGGTTTTATGAGGTAGGAACTTAAAGCTTATCTATCTGACTATTAATCTGATCTAAAGTACTGGTATTTGAAATATGCAAATCATCTTCTCAATTTGATATAAATATTGTTATGCACTTCATTTAATGAATCACATTACTCTTAAAAGGTAATCACAATACAGAGGTTGTAAAAGTTAGCTAATTTTCTATTATGAGTGAAGAACAAATTGATATGGATTTTGTTATGGTGCTGTTATCTGTCATATATCTTCCTTTGAAAATGTACTTGTACTTGTATTACTGAATCTATTTCTTGATTTAATTTGTGTAAGAAGTTTATGTCTTTGACCATATAAGGTGCTATAAAATATCTAATTTTCATTTCATGCTAGACTTTATTTTTAGCCTACATAAAGAAGGTTCTTAGGATATTTTTTCCCATTTATTTCTCTTCCCATTTATTTTTTCTCTAACTATAAAAAATATGTTTATTATCATAACGCCTATAATAATCAAAGTAGTTGTTTGCTTTTCTGCATATCCTTATGATTATTCACTCAAAGGTAGAGGAAACTGGACATTTTCCACAGGGTAATAATGCTAAGAAGGTGACCAAGCCATGTAGTTGTCACTTTCCACTGACTGATGTTTCCTACACTGCCTACCAAATTCTGTGCAAAGATATGGAAGGTGGAAACTTTTGTTTAATTCAGCTTCTGCTCAGGTATTAGTTTATCAGAGAGTTCCTCTCTGACTGCATGTCTAAAATAGCACAGACTGTCCTTACTTTGTGTAATTTCTCTTTATGATGGCTATATTTATCTGTGATTATATCATATGATACATTTTAATTGTTTATTTCCTCCAAGTGAAATACAAGCTTCTTAAGACAGGAATACACTGGCCAGCTAGTGCAGCAGTATCTTTAGTACCTATAGGAGTGCTGGACCAGAGTAGATATATTCAGTAAATGTGTGTTGAAATATTGAATTCATTGGGGAAGCACTAGGACTTTTGAACTCCCTCTTCGAGTTGTCTGTTGTGATATGCAAGGACAATATTAAACTCTTAACAGTTAGTACAGGATGGATACTGACCTATCAGAGCATATACCAGCTGTAAAGAAGTAGTAGAGCCACAGACGTGTTTGCTGGCTGGCTCTCCTCCATGAGTGTCTGGGAAAGAGTGTTCCCTGGTGGAACTGGGGAAGCACAGAGACTGGTATGCTAGAAACCATGATCACGAGAGAGTGATGAGAGTTAAACACAATTTGGATTAACAATATGTAAATATATATTGTCTTTAAAAGTTCCTCATATAATTTAGCAAATTTACTTTTTTTGTGTAGAAACATCATTAAATTTTACAAGTTTTCATAGTGTGTCTCTTAAGAAAAGATTTATACTTAACTTTTTTTCTTTTTGGTACTGGAAATTGAACTCAAGACCTTGTGCTTGCTAGGCAGGCACTTGTGCCACTGAGCTATATCCTCAGTACAGAAGATTTATATTTAACAGTGATAGTGAATTTCAGGAAAGGTTTATTGGTAAGATAGCCATCCAGTTAAGTTACAGTAAATGCTATGTTTTTAATTTCTAAGACCTTTTTTTCCAGTAATATTTTTGGAGGCATCTAGCTAGTTGTACTTTTGCAATTAATCCTCTTAAGCCATCATTTGTATGGGAAGTTTTAAAAGTGCTGTATGTCTAAAATGTGAAAAAGAGAAGAGTAATCCTTTCTTTCAGCTTTTGAAAATGAGATAATTAAATATCTTGTCATATTAGATTTATACTTGTGAAAACCCAGAGTTTTGAGAAAAAGTTTTGAACTAGAGTACCCACTATTCTGTTTAATTGATTCTTTTAGATCAGTTAATTAGGTCTATTAAGAAAGGAAGAACACAAAAAACTACCAGTCTTCTCATGAGGAAATTCACCTGGAATATGCTTAACTCTCGATGTGGGCCTTGGATTTGGAAGAAGAGAAACCAATTTTAAATCCCACTTTTTACCTCTATCAGCCACATCATGTGAGGCAAGTTAGCTTCCTATTGTGGCATACGATGACCCTGTGTATCATTTTCTAACATTCATAACGTGAAGAAAAATTGTGTCGGTGTGAGGAACCGTACAATGTCATATACTTTGTTGTGTAAACACTTTTTTCATAGGACAGTGAAATCAGAACAGAAGACAAATTTGGAATATTTAAAATCATGAAATAAAAAATATGGATGCTTAGTCTGCTGAGAACCTTTTATCTCTTATTTTATTACATCTTTTCAACAGCTGTGATCATTAATATCCCCATTGTTAGGTGAGGAAATGCAGAGATTATAATGTGTCCTAAATCACTTTTTTGGTAAATTTCAGTGTTTTTATTTGAAACTGATTTTATTCTATTTATCATCTTTATTACAACCCCAGCTAGCATAAATCACAACCTAAGCTATCTCAGTAACATCAATAATTTAAAATGATTTTTTGCTATACTCCAATATTGTCACACCAGGTTGTAGCACTGAATTTGCCATTCACAGTCTCATTACCAAGAAACTCTTATAGAAATGATAGCATTTTGTGTGAAGTGGAATGTAGAATAATGTTTACCCCTGCACTTAAAATAGTCTGGGAAGTCAAATTAAACTTGAATTTAGGTTTGAACCATTATATATATGAAAGGAAAAAAGAATGTCATCATAGACCATATAACATATAGGTTGATTTTTCACTTTTTAAAATAAATCTATCCTTGGGCTCAAAATTAGTCAGGGATAGAATCTTGCATAGACTGTATGAGACCCTGAGTTCTATTGCCAGCACTATATAAACAAAATCAAAAGCCTAATCCTTTACCAGAAGATATTTTGAGAAAAAGTGTTGATCTCAAAGAATGAAATATGGGCTTGGAGACTGCTAATTTTCAGTAACTGATTTCCTCAGTAGTGTTATATCCTTAAGACTACCTCGAACTTTCTTTAAATATCGTGATATTTTTGGTTTGAAGAACCAGGTTTTTCAGCAGTAAGTTCTGTACAATTTTTACCTACCCTATTAATATTTGAGGGATATCTGTGAGGCA